CTACCTTTCTTAAAACACAACAACTTTGCAAATTATATGCAATACATAAAACTGAAAATGTAATATCAAAAATCACAACTATACACATGTAATTAAATATCAATACCTCTTCAAGAAACATTTATCAGCGTTAACTAAGTTCACGTTATAAGTTTAAACTTTCGAATGAGGTACTAAAACTTCAAAACATACACTGATACTAAAAATTCACACCGTAAATCATGTAAAACATACCTAACAAACTGAAAAACTTAATCTGTAATAATCCATTTTAAAACTTTTCCCTCACATAAGAGGTCCTGAAAGAATGATCCACCCTAAAATAATTTTTGCAAAATAAAATATTTTATAAAAAAAAAAAAAAAAAAAAAAACTTACATGTTCCGGAACCATACTGATTATCAGATCTCCAGCAACATCATTTTCAAAAGTTGACATTTTCAATTTAGAAAATATTAATCAGGAAGACTTGCTCTTTCCGAGATTGTCGAGCGAACTGACTTCTTCCATTTCTGACACAGCGTTTTATAGGGATTAAAGAATATTCTCCAACATTCCAGATTTGTGTAATCTGAACCAGGATAACCCTTTCTTTCGAATACGATTTCAACTTCCATTAACCCTTATCATGATAACGTGAAGTCTACAACGCTTATCAAGGATCTTCCTTCACTTCTGTATGTATTGTCAAACTTGGAATAGCAACAACAACCTTAAGATAATACATTCTTTCGCATATGATTATCAGAGTTTTAGAAATTTTCCATTACTCTATCATGATAAGTGGATGATGCTTTTAAGATTACCCTTATGCATATATATAAGTAATGTCAAACTTAAGAATAACAACTCTTTCAAATAAGTTTTCAGTGATTATCAGAGTTTTCCATTAACCTATCTTACCATGATAACGTAATATACATATGACGCCGGACAGACTGTCCTTCCCAAACAAGACAAGACAAGAATGTATTACGATAAGTGTTGATGAATTATATTGGTGAAGATATATTTTTATGTATTAATTTTAAAAATATAAGAGATTCTTTAAGGCAGGAAAAAATTGTTCATTTATTTTGTGATAGGTTTTTTGAATCGAAATGTTATGAAGATTATAAAAATGCATTGAATATAAGTACAGCTATTCTATTTAAATTTCTGTGTTTGGTTGATGTTATGACTATTTTTTTTTCCTTATGTTTTTAATAGAAATATATTGAAATTTTAGTTTTAATTTTAAAGCAAACGTGTATATCAAATGTCAGTAAATGGATATTGCTGTTAATTTGATATTAACTAATGAAAGAAAATTCCAAGTATATTTTATGTATAATACAGAAATTTATTCTTTGAAAATAAATGTATTGAAAGGTAAAAGCTTCTTGGTGAAATGAATGTTTTTCATAACATTTAAAAAACGATGTAAAACAAATATTGATTGTAGAGAGAAGAAAGAGTCTATATGTAAAAATAATAATTTTATTCATTTAATAAGGTTCCCATTTTCGTGGAGAACGTATATGTTTTACAGATTTAACATGCAATATTTTTTTTTTTTCATATTAACATCATGATTCTGTAAATTTTCATTTTTGATATAGTCCATTGGCATGTTGATTTCAGTCAAGGCTTTTAAAAATTCGTTTTTAGCAGGAATATTAATCTTTTTCTTTTTGGTTGTAAAAATGATATTGAATAAGTCTATAATATTTGAGTGCTTAATTTTTTCCTTATGATAAAGTACCTCGCCTTTATCATTCCACTTAAGAATATCAGGATGTCGCTTTAAAATAGCTAATGCATTTTGTGCTTTTCTTCTCATTCGTAAAGGTACACTGTCTAAGATAACAGTAGAATAATCAGTTACAGTCATCTGTTTGTCGCCGTCTGTCACAGATGAAGGGGCTTCTTCCTCTTTCACTTTCTTCATCTCAGCTGAATCGTCTAAAGAATTTTGTGAGTCGTCTTTAGGAGGTTTAAAGGGTGAATTGTATTCCTTTAAGTTCAATTTCTTTTGTAAAAGTTCATAATAACGCACTAATTTCTCACGATCGTCAACTGAACTGTTTAAAATATGCATCATGGCTTTATCCAATTCACTTAACTGTTTATCAGAAATGGTATGCTTTGTCATCATCTCTTCTGGAACTAACACATATTTCTTAGTGAACTCCATTGATTAGTCCTGTAAGAACACTGAGAGCAGCAGGAATCAAAACGTTTAGAAAACCTCCTTTTTGTAAAATTAATTTTCGTTTCTTCACAAGAGAAATCTTACGATTTCCTAATTTTCGTAAAGTTGTTTTATGCTTACAGAGAGACTTCTTTTGTTGCTCTGACAATGGAACGTTTCCTTTGAGTATGTTTAAACTACATTCGCATATAGCTTTTATGCAATTGATATTAATTTTCTTTAATAGCTGTTTCCGTAACTTTAACGGACAAATGTTTAACAGCTGTAACTGTCTTAGCTGTTTCTTGACCAGCGTCATTTTATAAAATGATGATGCATTTTATAAAGCTGTTGTTTTTATTATTTTTTAATAATGTTTCATTTGATAAACATACTGTACTTGGTTAGGTAAAATTTGGGTGCGTAAACGTAATTCTTCCGGAGTTTCACTGCGCAGATCAATGAATAAATAAGAAAAAGGTTTCTTGGTTGCATCTTCATATACTTCTTGAAAAAACTTTAAATGACGCGGAAAGAGCTGTTTTCCTAAATGTACGATTTGACTGACATCTCTTCTGTTTTTACACAAAATCAAATAGTGTGCATTTAAAGTCACTTCACGCATTTCTTTTCCCTTGTGAAAAAAGTTTTGTGTGATAAAAATAACGCTTAAATTTAAATGATGACTTCCTTTTGTAAATAAGTTAGTCAGACGTTTATCATTCCCACATTCGCTCATCAAATCGTCTATGATGAATAATGTGTTGGAACCTAAATATTCTTGATATTTAATTGGTAAACCTTCGACAAAAGTAACATTCGGTATATCATTATACAGAGGTTGGTAAATTCCATAACACCATACTACTTTATCGGGAATCGTTGAAAACATTTCCTCTTTATACTTTAACAGTTCTCGTACAAAATAGGTTTTCCCACATCCAGTGGGTCCCGAAATCACCATTGTGAAAGGATGTTGTAGCTTTGGAAATTCCATATTAAATGAGACAAGACACATAATGTATAAAGTTTAAATGTATTTATTGATAGAAAGAAGATCTTACATGAAATTTCTTGATTACAAAATTATATACTTTAATATCATTAGATATATGTTGAGGTATGAAAGATAACAATATATCATTGAGAGATTGTCCACGACATTTACAATGTAAATAGTATATGTATATGCAATATTGACCACATACTGCTGTTACATTAGTTTGGAGAGTCATCGAATTAAAGTCCATCTGTGGAAATCGTTCTGCATACTTGGCTATCGGTCCAGGAAAATAGGATGGGTCATGTCCATAGGAATCGAAAAATTCTAAATGCTGTGGGGATGAAATGTAAAAGGCTAACCAGTGACTACCGGATTCAGATGCACGATCTACATTAGCTATAAAGCAACTTGGATATTTCTTGATCTCGATAGGGAGTCGATCACTTGCAAAAACTCCCAGAAATGCTTTTCGTGTCTTTGCATTCTGAGAGAGTGCTCTGTTTATTTCAAGGCTGTCCATTGCTTAATTAGCAAAATCGCATAGTACATGACGAGATTTTGTTATTTCAATCACGTTTTGAAATTCTGCATAGACTAGCACCGAGAGAGTCACAGAGAGAGCTTTAGCAAATTTAATTTCTACTCGCAAATTGCCTTGATGCTGTAAGTTAAAATGAGATCCATCACACATATCTGGAGTTAAATCGAAAGCATATAACACATGTCCTTTCACAAATTCTTCTCGAGATAAATAGATGCCTTTGTCGCGATTAAATCCAGAAAATAAACTGTGGTAAGCACGCACATAATGATTAGATTCGAAATCAAGGTCCATTGGTTTACATGGAACGGGTTGTCCATCTACATAAATCGATATAAAGTTGACATGATGATGGGCAAACAGAAAGGGATTCATTGAATATTGTCCATTCATTGCAGCATTTTCTACACAAGTAATAATGACTCGCTTGGGCATCAATCCTAAAAATACATTATCTTGCATAAAAGACCAACTTCCCTTAGATACTGAATATGTTTTGCATAATACTCGATCTATAGGGTATTTAGCAGAACTTTTTTCCAACGCTTTTACATGTCCGAGAGAGACTCCAGGGTTTACTTTTACTTTTCTGATAAACAAAGAAGCATGATCCAAGATCACTTTATAATCGGCATCTTTCTCAGTAGAAACTAGACAGAAAGCAGATTTACTACGCACCATTTTAATTTTCACATCAACTAAATTTAACATGAGTCGATTTTGTTGAAAAATGTCACAATGTAATTGTCCTATCAAATCCACACTTTGACTGTTTTTTATAAGTTCACCGCGAGCTTTTAGTCCAGCATCCGCATCTTGAGCTAAGACATCTATTTTATTAGGTGAAGTGTCTTGGAAAAATCCTTCGCAGGTGAGTAAACTTTTCTTTGCATCTTCCCCATAATTCAATAATGTTTCGATGAAGGCTCTATAGGGATAGGTATTTGTCGCAGATGAAATGTTTCTTTCATTTAAACTTACATCTACTTGCGAAAAGAGAGAATGTAAAAATAAATTTACAGGGGCAACCGGTTCTTTGTCTGTTAGATTGGATCCGTCTGCCTTAACTACTTTAACTTTCACGTGTATATAAGAAGCAGCTAGATCAATATAGTCTTCACCACTGCCAGAAATATTAAATTCGATAGGTCCTCCATCTCGTATATTTGCGAGAGGGTGATATTCCACAAACTGTCCTTTTTCTATAGCTGTTTGCGTAGGAGGAATGGTAAATAAATCTAATTCAGATTTGACGCAAACGGGAGAGTCTCGATGTAATATACGAAGTCATACTTTTTTTTTAAGAGAAAATATCCTGTGCTTTCACCTTCTTTGATCGGTGAGAAATGGTACGCTTTTTCCTACGTTTCTGCTTTTTATTGACTCGTCCAGAACCAATCATGTTCTTCACTTTAGTAGCAGCTTTATCCGTTAATATATTTCCGGCTTCTTTCAGTCGACGCTTAGCAGCCTCTTTTACATCTTGTCCTTGTGATACATCATTTAACAAATTCAGTCCACTATGCCATACTTGTTTTCCAATTGCTTTGGCTCCTGATTTAATAAGAGGTACGGCAGCGCGAAAGAAGGATCTGAATAGACCCCCTAATCCGTATCCTCTCTGATAAAGATTACCTTGATAATAATTCAATCCATGTCCTGTTTGTTGTACATAATAATCTTCAAAAGATTTTTGACAACACTGATAAGGTACATACATTATGACAAGTATTTTTGACGGAAATGAAGTTTCACGTATGACCTTCCTCGTTCAAATGGCGTAAATGCTCCCATATGCGTTCTTATATCGATTTCCAAAGTGTCTATCATTTTCCGATTCACAGGTAAATAATGAGGTCTATCAAATAGTGCACTCACCACTTCTCCATCGCTACCAGTTACTCTTACAATTCGAAGAAGAGGAGCTAAAACATCTCCTACGATTTGAGGTTCTACAATATCCGTATATATCATTAATACACGATAATGTGCACAGGGGTCGGCTGCAAAAGGACTTTCTACAACAGTTTCGGAACTATCATCTGTAGATGTAATTTCCATAGGTTCAAAACCTAACATTTGTGCTAACCCATCATGTAAAATCACTTTAGCGTTATTTTTCACTTTGATTTTCACTCGTTTTGTTACTGGGTTATAATTAAAAATTATTTTGTTTTGATGTTCTTTAATATAAATAGCTTTTAAAATATCAGGTACTGTTTCATAACATCCTGGAGGTAATCTACGACCTAACATTTCACCATCTTTCTCTAAAACAAATCCAATTAAGTTATTGTCTGCATTCACATTGTGCCATGTGTGCGGATATAGCAATTCAACCAAACCAACTTCCCACATACCTTTTAATTCAATGGGAACAGGTAAACGTGTTATAAAATGTGAAATTTTATTTTCGGGGAAATAATTCATAGAGCTATCGCTCGGAAGTGTTACGTAGAAACTCATTTTCACAAATGATTCGGATACAATATTTTCTCACACTTTATATCGAGAGTAAATTAGAAGCTGGAATCCATTGATTGAATTTGTCGGGATAACCGCGATATTTTACAAAGTATTCTGTCTGTTTCTTACGCATACGTTTCTTTAAAATTTTTTCAATGCGATATTCCTCTTTCAGTCTCACTTTCTGCAACTCTTGTGCATAAAACGTTCCTTTTACTGAGTCTCCAAGTAAATCTTTAATTCTATACACGGCTGGATGTCTTTTAACACACTCTGTCACCACAAATAGTTCTTCCGTCCAATTGGTTTCATAGCCTTTTTCGAAAGTAAGCTTTAGTTTGGAAACACGTACCACATCTCCTACAGCGAATATACATTTAGAAACGTTAGAAGGATGATCTTCATACAAGGTAAACCATACATCACTCTCATTTTCTGAATTGACTTCTATGGGAGCTCGCTTTATACTTGAATGAAAAGTAGCATTATAACTTTCTATTAATTTGTCCAAGACATCTACATATTTATACGTATTTCGAGTCGTAAAGTATTTCCACATTTTTGTTTTCAAAGTGCGATTAAACCTTTCCACCACGGATGCTTTAGTAGTATTGAATGTATTGAAAAGTTTAACTTGATTTCTTTTTAAAAATTTTATAAACACTTTATTTTTAAATTCGGTGCCCTGATCCGTTTGAAGTAATTTTGGTTTACGTTGACTCATTATTTTTTGAAACGCTTTCACAATATCTTCTCCTCTCTTTTGTTTCAGAGGAATAGCCCATGCATATTTGGATAATATGTCAATACAGGTTAATATATATCGATAACCATCATTATGATCACGTAAATGTGAAACATCCACTAAATCAGCTTGCCATTGTTGATCTATAGAATACACGATTACTCTATTCGTTGGAAATTTTCGGCGAATCGGCTTGTGAAGCGTGTACGCATCTACTCCCTCTAACCATGTTTGAATCTCTTTCCTGGAAACTTTACCTCCTGCAGCACGATGTAAAGCTTCAACACCACCAAAACTTGCAACATGAGCCGGATCCTGATACGATAAATTCATATTCATAACCTATTGAATTATTCTTCATATGGATAATGATAAATTCCCACTGTCGTTAAGACGTAGCGTAAAATCAATAGGAATTTTATGAAATTCTGTAAAAATATAGATGGATGATAAAATAACACATAAAACAGTGTATAAACACACCGCAACGGTGGCTTCTCCTGGGGCAGGCATAATTGTAATTGATGAGCTGATTCAAATTCCATTTTCTTTTATATAGGCTTTTTTACCTGAATCTGAATGTATCCCGTCAGCTTAGTGGTTAAAATCTTCAAACTACTGAGCTGGTGAGATATTTTGTTTGAGAGTTCAATTCTATATTTTGAATCATAGAATATTTTTTTAATAAAAGAAACTTCTAAATAAATTATTTTCTTTTTTCGTCCCTAGAGGACGCCATGACCCCGTTGCCAATTAAAAAAAACTAACTTTAAATGAAAAGCAGGAGGTCTACAACTCAATCAGCAATCTACCAACACCTCAACTCCACTCGTGACCACGCCTCCTAGTGTGATGACGTTGCCTTTGGTCCCGCCCTCTGTGTGACGTCATTGGCCACGCCCACACCCCACACCGCGTGCAGCAGAACCCGCATTTTCTATCTACTGTCAAACGTCTGTCATTAAAACGTCTCTTGCATATATAAATTTTCAATACAATACCGATATGCTTCTATTAAAACAAATCTTCATTAAATGTTAAGGTACGTTAAATCATTAACATTTTGAAATTTATTTTAATGATTCTGTTCAACTTATTGTGTTGCGGATAGTCGATTCTGATTAAAAAATAGGAACTTTGAATAAGTACTCTGGATTTATATATTAGCTTCAAACTGTCAAACCAGATTTTAGTTGAAGAGCGGTTATAATTCAATTATTTTTATTCTCCATTTTAGATATTAGATGAAGAAATAAATTCCATTTCAGTACGTGTTGAAAGTATTTCTGCTGTCTTGGCTAATTCGATAGCAGTATTAAAAATTCGAACAAAACATAGATTTTTGGCGACTCAAAAGTTATATGCAGCAACCCCAAAATAACAAGCTAAATTTCAGAAAAGCGAAACCCTTCCCAGCAGGGAGCCTATTAGTGCAATCACTCCCGTCGAAATTACCGGGGGAAAGAAATCCTAACGCGAGCGTATATATGCTTGCTGGCCGCTTAGAGCAAGATTTTGGTTGGACGTATATATGCTTGCTGGGCGCTTAGAAGAGGATTTTGGTTGGACGTATACATGCTTGCTGGCCGCTTAGAGCACAATTTTGGTTGAACGTATATATACGGCTCGGCCACTTGGAGGGTTAAAGTAAACGTAATTAGCCGTGTCAATTGCACATGCGTAACAGATCTATGACATATCAATCATATGCCAGCCAGACAGGTTCTGCCTCGTGCCAGTAGCATGGTTGCAGTGGTCCGAAATGGAAGCTCTTATTCCTTCTCCTGCCGCCTGCGAGGTTGTGTCGGTGATAAAGTTCTTGAATGCAAGTATTGCGCCAATTGAAATTTATTGTCAGGTCTATGAGACAAACATCATGAGTAAAGCAGATGATGCATCGTTGGTGTAGGCAGTTTTCAGAAGGTCGTCAAAGTGCTCATAATGAAGAATGCAGTGGCAGACAGTCCCTCATCAATGATGATCTTGTGATGGAGAACCGTCTCTTCACGATTACGAAGCTGAGCAGCCATTTTCTGCAGATATCACAATCCTTGTTGCAAGAGATTGTCACTAAGCACCTGCTGTTCAAAAAATTGTGTGCCAGGTGGGTGTCGGAAAACCCGACATCTGAACACAAAATTGAACGCTTAGGAGCAGCACTGACATTTCTGTAACGGTATCCCGATGACGGCGACTAGTTCCTCGATGGGATCGTCACAGGCAATCAGACTTGGATTCTGCACTTGGCCGCGGAAACCAAGCAGCAGTCAATGCATTGGCAGCATAGTGTATCTCCAGTCGGAATGAAGTTCAAACAGACGCTATCGGTACGCAAAGTGATGTGCATAGTGTTCTGGGACAGGAAGGGCATTCTGCTCATTGAGTTCCTTCCACGTGGTGAAACAGTAAACGCTGACCGTTACTGTGAAACACTGTGTAAATTGTGACGAGCCATTTGAAACAAGAGGCGTGGAATGCTTACTGCAGGTTTTGTGCTCCTGCATGACAATGCTCGTCCACATCCGACTCAACGCACAGCAGCGGTTTTGACGGAATATCTGAATGAAGTGTTACCTTTACAGAAAAGTAACACTTTATTCAGATATATATATTCAAATAAACTACAAACAATAAATAACAGTGACTAAATAATATATAAACAAAACAGCCGCTGATTCATAATTAGCCATTTAAAGATTTTTTAATTCCATATGCCTGGGCAAATATTTCCTCCACAATATCTTTAATTTTTGCTTTTCTATGTTCATCAATGGTAATGACTTCAAATTAGCTTGCTTCATTGCACTCCTTAATCTACTTTTTACAATTTTTTATTTTGAAAAAGTTCTTTCGTATTCATCGTTATAGATAGGGCGAGTACAAACGTATAAGCAAAAAAGACATTGGCATACACAATACTACATAAATTATATTTCAAGAGTAATTTATATGCACACAAGAAATTGCATTTAGCTTTGGATGAATGCTCATGAATAGATAGAGCTCTTTCTCTTTCTGACTCAATATTAGATTCAGAATAATGATTTTCAATTGAATTTTTTATTATTTCACATTTAATTACTAGGTCCTGATATTCGTCCTTAAGAATTTTAACCAGCTGTTACACCTGCATAATGTCCTAATAATATAGAAAAATAGTAGAAAGCGTTCGGCGACAATGGCTTCGAAACGTTTTGGGGATCGAGAAGTGATATGTCTTCATACAATTTCCTATGCCCTTTAAACCTACTATTCATCGATTAAATGGCATTATCCAATATAAAATTAAAGACAATAACTTGTTTGATAGAGCAATTTAAATTATAGTCGGCCGATTCTTGATCGTCTATTTGTTTCACTTTTTGTATCTTCTAACAGGTAGCTCTTCTTTTATAATTATATCACAACCCAGCCTTTCTAGTTTATTATTGTAATCCGTTGCAAACAATTTTGATGCATTAAATGTTAAATTGAAGTTTCTAGAATTGGCTTTTAAAGAGCTTGCAGCCTCCCTAACTATATTATATGCTAGGATGTAATCTAATCCTTTAGTCTGCAAATACTTTCATTACTGGCTCAGTATATTGAAATATTTTCAAATATACATGAGCAGACAAAATTATTCTAAAAGTTGATATTTTATCCAGAATAGATTTTGCCATTTGTCGTATCTGTGCATTTTGTATACCATTGGAAGATATACTTTTCAGAGAAAGTATTAATTCTACACACATACCCTCCCTCGCAGGGCTGTCTCGCCGAGTCATCTGTGTCAATTCGATTGTTCAAATTTCTTGATCAGCCCGTAGCCGCACCAACCCACCAGCCTTATCCACCACTGAATCTTACGAATATCTAAAGTGTGAAGAAATATGTGAAAAACATGTTTTGCCCTGTGGCGACTTGCCTATTACAACGCTGCCAGTCTGGTAACCCATAACAATGAAAGACAAAATAATATTTATTCTATTCTATTGTTATGATTATTAAGGATCTGGCTCAATTATTGTACTACCTTAATAAAAATTGTATTACCACAGCCCCCTATCCCCTTGGGGCCGAATTCTCAAGGGTAGGGGTCCTTGGGGGGGTCGAACTGCTGAAACTGGTTTTTAACTATTCATGTTCCATACATTTTAAAGCAAGACTCTTGTGTACATCTGTTTCTCCCTTATATGAGAAAACGTAAAAACATGTTTTGCCCTCCCCCCCTTGGGTGCCGAATTTTCAAAAATCTCTTCTTAAATGACGCCTTCAGTAGACAAGCAATGAGCTCCTAGCTTTTGATATTTGCATCTGTAATAGCTTTGGGCGATGATGTATAGATGAATGAATGAATGAATAAATATTAGGAATTCGTTTATATATAGATTTATAATTAAACAACTAAACAAAACGGTGCAAAAGGAAAAACACAAATCAAAATAATATATTATTTCATAGAAAATGGGAAACAACCAAAAATCAATATCAAACATGTAAATATGTATCCGACTTAAAAAGAAAAATACTGTAGAAAACTAATAAAAGAAATTAATTTGCACTGAGTAATGTGCAGCACTTTCGTAACTTAACGCCATGGCGTCGGTGCCAGATGATTCTTTTCTGCATGCCGAGCTCCCTGACATAAACACGCTGCGCATGAATCTGCGCAAATGATCAGCGAGGAATCAGGAAGAAACTAGCATCTGAGGGGCTAGACCAAAGAATTTGTAAGGGACACAAATTCTTTGGCTAGACGCTTGTGGAATCGCGAATCGAGTAGAAAGAGTACCCCGACTAGTGCTGTAGAAGTAACGAGAAATTGTGTACCCGTATGTATTCGTTACTCGGTGAACCAGTACTCGTTACTATCGTATCGTTACTCGTTACTTTCGGTAAAATCGATCGGTATCCGTATCCTGAGCCTATTTTATCGGTCTACGGCCTAAAAAGGGCCTAGAAACGTCGCATTGCATTGAATC